GTAAATTGTAAATACTGTAAAACTGTTTTCTGTCATTTAATGGTCGGGCATTGTACAGCTACAAGCATTTCACCCCCATGTCATACTGTGTATGGTTGTGTGTGTGACAAATAAAAAATTTGAATTTGACCAGGACAGAGAGTCCGGGAATCGAACCGGCGACCTTCCGGTTACAGATATGCTTCCCAACCCCCTGAGCCAAGGTCGCCCCGATATAACAGGGAAATCGCTCAAAGGTGGAAAAGAAAATATTAATAACACTTCACATTTTGCTAATCTTGTAGCAAAGCCTCTAATCTCTGTGAAACTCCTGCTCAATAAGCACCTGTTGAGTGAAGCGAGGCAATGCCTCCTCACATTATTCTGGAAAACCAAATGTTTTTAGAAAAAGGACAAGAAACAAACATAGCAGCAAAAGGACTACTGTTACCATATATCATAAACACATAAAACGCTCATTAATAATTCATTATCTTGTTGGAGAAGATTTCTGACTGTAGAGAAGCCTGGAGTTACTTTAAAGTTACTTTAACCAACAACAGCCAGTGCAGTAAATACCCTCCATGGTCCCTCAGGGCAGTGAAGATGTTGAAAGAGCAAGAAGTGATTTTGCAACTTTGACTGACTGCCAGATCTCCTCTGTGCATCCTCTTTAACACAGAGCATGTGAGATACATTAGAGTGTGTCTGAACTGGTTTCCAGGCTTGGCTCCATTTGCTGCCAGCTGCTGGTTCTTTGTGTCTGGTGGGAAATTAATAGATGTGTTTTCAAAACTTGGCAAGATTTCAGTTTTATCTGTGAAGCAATCTTGATGATGGATAGGTGAAGATTCTGTAACTGAAAGCTCAGAGGTAATCAGCTCGGAGTAAAAACATGGTCTCCGTGTTGTCAGATCTGTTTGCGATTAATGAAATTACCCGCAAGTATCTGTGAAAGCGCTGGAGGATCCTTTACGACAGGAAGCTCTCAACATGACTGACAAATCACAGATGTAAGAAAAATGAGTGTTTTTTCTTTTTAAAGGCATGGCATGATCTGCTGATATGTTCTCAGGCTGTTACACCCTCGGCTCATCAATGGATGTTAACACTTTATTACCCAAGCATCAAACAGGCCGCCTGGAATTATTTTGCAGTTTTGGCTGTAAAATTACAAAATACTTCTGATCTTTCAGAAACAATTTGGAATTTCCTAAACATTCATCTCTCTATCAGGAATTGTCCCGCACACATTTCCTCACCCATTCTGATCTGCTCAACAGCACCCTCCCCTGTTTTCGTGTCACTCTTATAACTCAGCAGTTTCAGAATCAGCTCATTCAACACAAACATTCACGTCTGTGTCCACACAAGCTGTTTAAAACAAACAGGTCTCTGTGGTTTGTTTGTTTGTTGATTTGATTCGACTGCACTTCTTTTAAAGCAGTTTATCAGCACACAGTCGCCTTCAAATGAAAGAAAAAAACTAAATAGTAAAACTTGTATTTTTACATCTTTTTCTGCTGATAAATACCAATTAATGACCATTAATACTACAAAGTAAATAAATGAAAGATGAACAAATCACATTTTTCTAGTACTTTACAAACACATTTCTTACAATTTAAGCACAAACAGTCATGCAAGCAGACAGAAGGGGAGTTCACTTATCACCATCAAAGTGAACTGTATGTTGTAAATTGAGTTTTATATTCCCGGTATCCTGAGACTATCCATCCATCCATTTTCTTTCACTTAATGACTTCAATGCCACAAGGCGAGAAGCAGAATAGTGTTGATATAATGTTTCCTTACCATGCATGTGAGTGCGTCACCAGAACAGGTGGCTTTGCTTGTTCATGTGTGTCCCAAC